AATAAAACCGTATCTTTTTCCATCATTACAATAAAACAATAAAATTAAATCGTTTTTAAAATAATTATTTTTTTAATTTAAAAAAATAAACCAAATCATAAAACAATATATTATTTTATTTATTTTGATATCCTTATAATATATATATATTTTTTAAAAGGGTACTCACGCAATGCAGCGAGATACATCTTGATTTTAATGTTTTATTTTATTCTTTATCTCAATCGATGTTATAGTACGGTCTTATGTGATTTTGAAAAAGCGATAATGTTTTTACTTTTGAATAAAATATAAATTTGAAAATATCATAAAAATTTGATAAAAATATATCGATATTAATATCAAATTAACTATTTAAAATTTCTATTATAATTTAATTTAGGTTTAATAACGAAATAATTCATATTTGGTTTAATAATATAATTTTCTTATAAAGATAATAATTAATTATTTTGTTAGAACTCGATAATTATCGTAATTATATTTTAGATTTTTTATATTTTAAAATGAGATGTTTATCCTCTAATTGGTTATGTTAATCCACAGTTAGTTACGCGAATTCAAACATGGAGCTTTAATAAGTTGTTCTTATGCATAATTTACTTGTAATCTTGAATTTTAAGTAATATGCATCAACATACAGTACTTTATGCATAAAAATGGTTTTTAAGAGTTTTTTGTCAAATACTTTATAATATAGTATATAGATATACTAAAAGGGTACTCGCGCAATGCAGCGAGATACATCTTGATTTTAATATTTCATTTTATTCTTTATCTCAGTCGATGTTATAATATGGTCGTATGTGATTTTGAGAAAACGATGATGTTTTTATTTATGAATAAAGTATAAGTTTGAAGATATCATAAAATTTTGACAAAAATATATCGATATTGATATCAAATTAACTATTTAAAATTTCTCATTTTTTTGTGTAATTTTTTAATTCAATTTTTTATAATTTAATTTAGATACAATAACGAAGTAATTTATATTTGATTTAATAATATAATTTTTTTATAAAGATAATAATTAATTATTTTGTTCGAACTCGATAATTATTTTAATTATATTTTAGATTTTTTATATTTTAAAATAAAAGGTTTATCCTCTATTTGATTATGTTTATCCACAGTTAGTTATACGAATTCAAACATCGAGCTTTAATAAGTTGTACTTATGCATAATTTACTTATAATCTTGAATTTTAAGTATTTTATGCATAACAAAAATATATCGATATTCATATCAAATTAACTATTTAAAATTCCTCATTTTTTGTGCAATTTTTTTATTCAGTTTTTTTATTATAATTTAATTTAGGTATAATAACGAAGTAATTTATATTTGCTTTAATAATATAATTTTCTTATAAAGATAATAATCAATTATTTTGTTAGAACTCGATAATATTCTAGTTATATTTTAGATTTTTTATATTTTAAAATAAGATTTTTATCCTCTATTTGATTATGTTTATCCACAATTAGTTATATGAATTCAAACATCGAGCTTTAAAAAGTTGTACTTTTGCATAATTTACTTGTAATCTTGAATTTTAAGTAAACAATGGTTTTACGTGGTTTTGAGAGAGTGAAAATGTTTTTATTTTTAAATAAAATATAAATTTAAAAATATCATAAAATTTTGAAAAAAAAATATCGATATCAGTATTAAATTAATCTTTTTAAAAGTTCTTATGTTTTGGTGTAATTTCCTTAATTAATTTTTTTAATTATAATTTAATTTAGCTTTAGTAACAAAGAAATTTAATTTAGATTTAATAATGTAATTTTTTATAAAAATAATAACCAAGTATTCTGTTAGTTATCAATGATTATCCTAATTATATTTTAGAATTTTTTAGATTTACAATGAGATGTTTATCCAATATTTGATTATGTTTATCTGCAGTTAGTTAGACAAATTCAAGTATGGGGCTTTAATAAATTGTAGTTATGCACAATTTACTTGTAATCTTAAATTTTAAGTAATATGCATCAATAAACAGTACTTCGTGCATAAAAGTTTGTTTTTAATAGTTTAATTTTGTGAAGACTAAAAAAGGGTTGAGAACTGTAATATATATATAACGCTTCTCACTATAACTTTCCTTCTTACCGGAACTCAACTCTATATATAATATGCAAATCAAATAATGCAACTTTTTCAAATGTTACAACCAATACAACTCCATATAATTTATTAAATGAGCCCTCTAATTATATACACGACATACAAATTATATATATACATATATATATATATATATATACTAACCTATTACCAAACTGATTCTCTTTTCTCTTGCCAAATACCCAAAAATGATATTGAAACATAAATGACCAACAAAACTACCAATTACAACAAAGAGATGTAAAAGAGGATTATTACCTCTAAGTTATAAATAGTCTTGGCTTCATCAATCGTTAAACCAAAAAGAAGAAAGAAAGTTAAAATCTCATCAGAAGTGGTTGCAGAAATCAAAATCGAAATAGAAATCAAAATCGAAATATAAATCAATATCGTTTTTAAGAGCATACCTCCAAATTCTAGGGTTTTGAAGAACCTGTGAAATTAAATCAACAGGGAGGATGGAGCTATGTGTATCAATGAGGTTGTGATACATCAAATGCCTTTGATACATGAAATCGGAGCTCTGATCGAGGTGATACATTCACACCACCATTGTTATGTCAAACGAGGTCTGTGAAGAAGAAAGACCTTTTCTTTCTAACCCAAAATGTTTTTGGTTTTGGTGGTCGCAGAGATATGACATAGAAGAAGAAGAAAGCTGGTCTTGGTGGTGGCAGAGATAGGAAATAGAAGAATAAGAAACCGGAAGAAGAAACCAGTCCATAATGGGTAAGTTTTGGTGTTGTAGAAACATTGCATAAACAACTTGTACATTATGCATAATAGTTTGTAATTAAGAGTTTTTTGAATTTGTTGCATAAAACCATTGTAACTTATGCTTAGTAACTTGTATTTAAGACTTTGTCTTAAATGGTTATATATGTAGTATATATATATATATATAGAGAGAGAGAGAGAGAGAGAGAAATCAGATACAAACATCATACAAATTAATTTAAACTGTTCATCAAGTCTAATGAATATTTGATTTCATAAATATCTCAATTGTTTTCTAATATAAAACGATGATCATAATTAATGAGTTTTAATCTTCTATAAATATTCAAATCATAATAAATGAGCCCTCATCATTTCCATAAATATCGCAATCGATTAATTTGTAGATTTTATACAAATAGCATGTTTGAAACTCCCTCTAATTATGTATATGGCATACAAATTTATTATCTCATGTCACGCCCTGTGTAAGACTTAACCTTGCATGTGGTCAGATCTCATGCCATTTGAAACCTTGGTTTGATATAGTCTAATACCTTGCATGTGGTCAGATCTCATGCCATTTGAAACCTTGGTTTGATATAGTCTAATACCTTGCATGTGGTCAGATCTCATGCCATTTGAAACATTGGTTTGATGTGACATTAGACTACGACAAAACAATACCCAAGACAAAGTGCATTTTTTTGTTCGTCAAATATTAATAAATTACTAAACTATCCCTATCAAATTAAAACTTTAACGCCTTCCATAATTCCTGCCTACCTTATTCTATCCTATCCCGTCGAGTCTACATTCCGATTCCGAGAGAGATTAAAGGCACAACATCATGTAGGCCTCGAGGCAACCACATTCTTCGATTACCTTATATACACACACACACACATATAACATCTGCTGAGCAATTCTACGGTTATCATATCACACCCATATATCGAGAAGCTAACGTACAAGCTGAAGTCAAGTAAACCGATGAAAGTGTACATATGATTATAAGGGATTAATTTTAAAACGGGCTACATGGTGTCGCTTTTGGAAACATTACCGACAAACTGGAGAAGGGGTTTTTGATTAAAACGGGCTCACGAGACCAGCCAACTTCAACAACAGTTCTGGACAAAGGCGTTTTCTTGGAGGTGCCATGGCATCGTTAGCAAGCGCTTCCGAGTCACCGGTATGCAAGTAATCCACTATATAGTCGAATAGCTCCTCTTTCCCACCTCTAAGAGCATCCTGGTTTTAGTTCACCACAAATCCAACATATAAAAGGTGACATCTCAAACATTAAAGTAATACTTTGTTCCAATTCCTATTTTAAGTAACGTACTTTCAAAAATTTCATTTATGTACTTGTATCATCTAATGACTTTGTAATTTGCTTACTAAGGGGACATTTACCGAACACTTACCCGGGTAAGCGCTTACCAAGTCACATTACCTCACCGGATGAATATGGCAAGGACTAAAAATCTTACCCGGTAAGAGCGAGACAAAGACCATGAGTCTTACCCGGTAAGTGAGGGCGACGACTCTTACCATGGTAAGCGCTTACCAGGTGAATTGTTGCATACTGACTTTATCTGAAAACTTTTCCAAAATAATGTTGAAATTTTCACAGTAAATCTTGAAAAGAAAGGCTTGCAAGTTTGATGGGATGCGACAAACTTACTTGAATAAACAAGTCGGTATGAGTTTTTCCATCATATAGAATTAGCTCAGCTCGTGCTCCGACTCTCTTGAGAGCATTTATAAAGTTTATACTGCAAAACAAATGAATCATCTTACACATTGCAGCTTATTTTGATAAAATAAGATACAGAGTTGGTCACAAGCAGGCAAGTAGTGATGATATCACATCAACAAAGTATGAGGTGGTTAATCATTTAGGGGTTGTTCGGCTGTTTCTCAATTAAGCCTTGTATAGATAAAGCTAGATTGTTGTTTGTTTGTTGTGCTGGATAAGTAGTCTGAATGACAAAATGACCATTTTACCCCTCAATCTAGATTACTCTATTTGCAGAAGATTCAGGTGGATGCACACACACATACATTATATGTGTACAGAAATTTGACTATATTTTCTTTTCACAATATTAGTATAGATACGTTGGTTGGTTTCCCTCTCCTTATGTTAAGAGTCTGGTCTACATATATTTTTAAAGGACCGTTTAATACGACGCCTATTCGATCTAATAGTCGAACGAGGTACGAACTAGCTCGGGCGCGGTAACAAAGGTCCGATTTAAGCTCTCATGTTTGGAGGAATGTTTTCCCTCATGTTAGTACCATTATGGGCGACTCTCATTGGGTGGTAGGTGCTGGAGCGAAATGCGGCAAAAGGAAGRAAAATCCATGGACCGACCCCATCATCTCCCGCATTGTTTTGTATAAGTATTTCAGATTTACGAAAACACAAGGTTTATAAACAAAAACACCAAAATTTAAGCTAAAAAACAACAAATTTGACAATTATAGGATTTGAACCTGGGCCTTTTTTTGTACTAAGGTAGGAGCGTTTACCATCTTAGCAAATCTTGTGTTAACATTTCAGGTTCAGAAAACTACGGCACCCTTCGGAAACGTGATTTTCCCCCCTTACGACGGAACCATGAAGCGGTGGCCCATGCCACCATATCATTCCATGTGGGTCCTCCCCTGATGGTAACTAAGATATATACTAATTGACCTTATGCACTGAAATCAGTATTTTGATTAATTGGAATCATGCAAACTAGCAACAACGTTATTATCTGATGGCAATTATTTTCAAAGAAGAAGGGGGGAGGGGTCCCAAACCTTGCATCTGGTGGAATTGAAAAATCTTCAGTTCCATGGAAAAGAACAATATGGGGCAGATGAGAAACAGCGTTCTTGGCACTTGGATCTTCGATAAGAATTTCAGGAGAAAACTGTTGCAGGGATTCATCCCCCTCCATTATACTGTCATATAATGTCAATATTTTAGGTGCAAGTGGAAACAAAGGCAAAAACTTATCGAATTCAAAGAGTATGGTATCAGAGAATTTGAAAATATAGATAATATAATACCTTAAAAATATAGAGCGATAGAGGCCCCGGCGATCAAAATGATCAACTAGGTTGGTCAGATTGTACCTATCAGGTGAGTAACAAGAAATAATCAAACAAACAGAAGTTGTCCATAGAATGTGGGATTGAATATATAATATAGAAGCCATCATCATATTTGATGCTTTTTGTAGAATGTTGGACTGAATATATAATATAGAAGCCATCATCATATTTGATGCTTTCTGTATACAGAAAGCATGTACAAACAGACTATAAACACAACTTGTGAACTGGTTCACCATTAATAAATGTCCAATATACCCCTCGCAGATAGTCTTTTACATTCCAATTGAAGAAATTCTGAAGGACACGAAAGAGTTATATCTGTTTTTGTAATATTATGATGAGCAAAATAGGTGAAGAAGGTGAATGGCAACAAGGCTCCTTGGCTGCAATGGTTTGGGACAGAGGCGGATCCAGAAAAATACCCAAGCGTAGGCAAAAAAGTAATTAACATAATATAGAATAAACAAAATTAAACTATATAAAATACAGTTTTATTAAGAATGGCATACAAGTGGTTTTTGCAATTACCCGAGTGGTTTTTTCCTCTTTTTTCTGCTACTGTTACCAAAAGATTAAAAGAGAGCCAAAGAGATTCGAACTTGCAACCTGTAATACAACGTGCAATGACACTACCCATAGGCTGCAACCACTTTTTGTTGACTTAGGGTGCACACATCAAATTAACGCAGTTGCACCTCTAAGGCTCCTACGAAATTTCCACCACGTCGAAACGATAGAGCTGTAGCACGAGCACCCCCTCCCTCCTTAAATCTGCCCCTGGTTCGGGAGGGAAGTCCTGTTAAAGTTTATACTGTCTCTCTAGCATTTTTTTTATGCGGCTTCCTGGTCGCTAATGAATAACCTTACCAACTGATCCAAGATTCTCCCCTACGTGACTAAATCTAAATACTTTTCATCAAAAAAAGGGAAATGTTGCAATTCTTGGGTGACTCAGGGGAAATTTTTTATCCGAATACCAAGGTATCTGTTGCGTATCTCAAACTTATCGGTGCCTGATGTTTTTAATGCAATGATTATTTGAATGTATCTGTGTTTTTCAGTGGTTGAGAATGACAAGGACCAGATTAATTATGAGATATTTCTTACCCTCCTGATAAACCAAAATAAGCTTTTATCTGAGAGACACTCCAAGAAGTGCTCTCTCCTTTCGATTCCTTAATAGCCTGCTTCAAGAGTGCACAAGAAGATATATGTGCACCAGCGGACTGCCCCATCAAATATATCCTGCATCAGAAAGGTTGATTTAAGCATGATGGCACTGAGTATCAAAAGGCACCATAACTCATATAAATAAGTTGCTTACCTATTTGGATCACCTCCGTAATCAGCAATATTATTGCAAACAAATGATATTCCTCGAGAAACATCTTCAACCATATCACTGATTGTACCCTGGGGAAAGTTCCTAATTGGAAGTAAAAAAAAACATAAGCCTCAATATTCATTTACAAGTGGACTAACCACTTGCATTATATAGAATCCTCCATGACTTCTGTAACAATGTTCAACAGAGCTTAATCACAACAATGTTTTACTCGTGTTCAAATGCCAGCTCTATTCACGTTTGATTGAATGTATAAGTTTAGAATTGTAAAGAACATATATAACTAGACATAAAATAGTCAGAGAGAAGTTATTGGAAACAGGGATGATATACTTTATACCCGATAATGATGGCAGTCCAAAGACTTGATCAAACATAAATTCGAATTTGAAATTGATGAAAAGTTATCACCTGTAATCGATGCATGTAACAATGATCTCCCTTTCTGCTAGTTGAAAACCTAGAAGGGAACCCCATCCTTTATATCTACAACACCAAAGCAAACATAAACATGTCAAGAAAGCACAGTTATATGCCTAACCTTCTGCATAGTTATAAGCATTAACTAAGCTCTTTCAATACCGAGGGTGAGAAAATTAAAAGAAAGAGTTGCTAGTTACTAAACATATCCCCTGTATGTCTATCAGAATAAAATAGCACACATGCTTTTATTGGCACTCACAAAGTGACACACTGCTCAATTGAGTTCCAAACCACACCAAATTATAGTCCCTTGCAAACTACTTATTCCAAATCTAAAAAAGATTCCACTTGATGCTGCAGAAGATTGTGACATTTACAATGATTAGGTTGCTGTAATTATCTTTGAGAGCTTTAAACAACAACCCTATAGTCTTGTTATATGTGTGAAAGTCACACAAGTTACAGAACACCACTATTGTAAAAAGAGACGTCATTTGGATTTTCAGAAATATGGTGGTTCCTAAGCAACATGTCAAAACAAGATACCCAAGACACAAACATATATGGAGTTTTTAAAACAAATTTATTTTGTGATAAAGAGTTCACATCCATGTTACAAGGTCATATTCACCCGCATGCAAGCATAAAAAGCTGTGATTGGTATATATAAATTAATTCCAGAAGGAATTATTCGAACTTGGATATACACTCGAAAGATTATATAGTATTTGCTTACCCTATGATCCATGCTCCACCAGTCACAAATATAATGACTGGCTTTGGGCTATCTATCTTTTTGGGCAAGTATAGATCCAACCTGAAATTTAAATTTTTTGCAATTAAATAATATGATTAAGCTAAATGGAAAAAGGATAAATTGCATTAGTGTCTGAATCATGGTACATTACCTATTTCTAGGCTGGTCCCCATAAACTACGCTTCTCCGAATTTGGCTTGAAAATAGATATTGATATAAAACTGCCAAGAGAATGAGTAATCAATTTTGCCTTCCAAAACATGATACCCAGCACCAGACTTTCAATACCAAACTGCAATGTACGAAAATTCGATTGTTTGGAAATCTGCCAAAGAGAAAACTACCTAGTCACAAAACTTACCTTGGAGGAAGCCAGGCATTAGCAACATTGCATAAAGACCCAGGGCAAGAAGCCTAGAGATCCACCGACGGCCTACCCTGATTGAAAGCAAATGATTAGGAAAGGCTTTTTTCACATTAAACGTCAAACAAATCAAATACGCTTACAACAGTTTGATGATGCACTAATAGCAATTTGGCTGCAATGATTGGTTATATAAAGAAAGCATAGAGCATGTGGCTGACAAGCAACTAATGTGGACACACGATGTCAACCGACAATATTTTTAGATCACTTCTATTTGATAGATTACTTGAGAGTCTTTTACAGATTCACATATCTATCTAAACCATATTTACCACTCAGATACAGTTGCCTATTACTGAATTATATAACCCATTCAATTCCCTGGGGTTTTCAAGTTCAGTCATCAGATATGCATTATGCATTATAGACATATTAGTTGACTTCCCACAAAGATTAGCCACGAAGGATCAGGCCAATGACCTTCACCAAACTATGGAAGGCCACCTTCTTCACCAAAAAATCTATTAGTAGAAGCATGAGATCTTGATCTCATCCTTACCTTGTTTCTAAAAGCAAGTCCACCCAACTTTCTTCCATCTTGCAGAATGTATAAATCCACTTGATGTTTCTTTCCAGTCATCCTTGCCCTACTATCTCAGAACTTTATCCTCATTTTGCCAATATATGAAGATACACAGATTATTCTTGCACTATGAAGATACAGCCCTTCTCGTCAAGATATTGCCTATTCAGGTTGAGACACTATGGTATTACAACTATATCAAGAATTCAAGACTCATATAAGCTTGTAACTCCTGTTCCTATTTAAATGTGGCGTCAATAATATAAATTGCACAAACCATTTGGTTAGGTTTATTTGTTCCTCACCCAACTATCAATTCCACAAAGGACTGCCTATAGTGATGATGACGGTCAGCTCTACCATGGTCCCTGTATCTTGCTATAATAGTAATCTCACCCAACCAAGAGATTCATATAGTCGAATAACCAATTTGGCACTTTTGTGCATTCTTTATAATCAGCATGTTTTTTCAGAAGAGTTGGTAATTACTCTTCATAGTAGTTATTTGTTTGCTTTCATAAGTCCAAGAAGGTCACATATAGTGTGTTTAGGATCTCAATTTCATGTTTTGGAGTTCAACATCCACCAACATCACATCAAATGATCTCTAATTTTCCAAAATAATTTCATTTCCTCCTAATAAGATCATTCACTGTTATAATTAGAATCATGATGATCAAAGATAGAAGCCAGTAACTCGGCAGAGTAATAACAGACAAAGAAAAACCGTACAATAGTGTGTGTTTACACTTAAGAATTTGAGAGTGTTTGTGAACCAGTTCAATATCAACAAAACAGATCAGATGCCAATGCCTATCAGCAAACTAACAGCATATTAAAAACTATGCAATTGTGTGACTGTGTTCCCGTGAGCTAATTAACTCAACTCAAATAACACTGAATTGTGATGTATCCCATCAATCCAGTAACTGGTATCCAAAATTCAACTTTCGTAGAACAAATCCTAATTCTACTGGAACATGTCTAGAACTATAACGGTACCAAGTAATCCTCAGAGCTATAGGAAAGCGAAACACAAACATAAGATCGAAAATCCCAACTAAAGAGGATAATACTCCCTCCATCCCATGTAATTTCAACAAGCGGAGTAGCTTTTCTGTCCTTTTGGCATGCAGCTTTCATAAACTAATTGTTTATCAAAGAAATTACAGATCAAAGAGGCTCAAACTGCATAGTTGCAATAAAAAACGATTGGAAGTAGTAGAAACCTAAAACCAAAAACATATAAGGAATAATTGTACCCAAGATATCGAAGGAGCGTGAAGGCAAGGCGAGTAATCAAATAAGTTTCACTAGCAGCATGTCCGATCTCTCGCCCGAACGATTGTGACCGGCAGAGAGAAGGAGAAGTCTTGGCCAACTTTCCACTATCGATGCTCCTCCGCCTGGTGCCAGCGACGGGATTTGTTGAAGTTGAAGTCCTGGAACGCAGGGAATCGACGGCGTCGGTGCTCCTCATATCATGAGTAGATGTTGTTGTTTCAACCGGAGAGAAGCCGACCGGCGACGTCGGAATCGTCATTGGAGAATTGCCGGCAAGATAAGATTTGAATGTTGAAATGAATGAATTAAAATACAAAGCGGATACGACACCTGGTATTTGGTGACTCCTAAACGAAACAACAGGTTACTTGTGCAGGCGGTGCGTAAATTACAGATTTGGTCCCTGTAGTATGGAATGTTTCACAGAATTGGTACTTAAACTTCATTTATCTCGCAAAACACCTGAGAGTTTGCATTTTTTGTTGGATTCGGTACTTTGTCTTCAGGGGTGTTTGAGATTGCTTATTTAAACAACTTACGTTTTTTTTAAGTTCTTATCAATTTTAGAGTTTGATGTTAATTTAGGTATAAAGTTTTTTTTAATTAACCTATATATCAAACCCGTTATGCGAGTCGACTAACCCAGGACAACCACCTGTTTTGCAGATAGTTCGGAGTCACCGCATTTGAACCTCCGTGGTCATAAGAGAATTTTTATTCCTCATTGGATTTAAACATGGGACCTCCTGGTACTTTTGACCTTTGGAGTCAAGCGCAAACCAATCAGGCACCACTCTTGTGGTTTTAGATTTTGACGAAGATGACGAATAATAATATAAAAAAAATAATTAAAACCCATTAAAAATGTAGGGAAATAGCAAAAAGGTCACTTTGTCCTCAAATTTAACAAACACTGTGGATGGACGTTAAAACAAATGACCAAATTCAACAAAAAAATGCAAACCCCCCGGTGTTTTATGTAATAAAGGAGATTTAAGGACCAATTGTATCACAATCCCATACTATAAGGACCAAACGCATAATTGAATCTAAAAATAATCTGATTGTTGAGTTAGGATCAGCGGTATACGCTGTCGGATGCATGTGCCCCACGTGGTACGGGACCGATTATGATTCCTCTTACATAGAAAAACAGGAAAAAAGGAAAAAGAAAACGTTACAAAAATAAAACATATGAAGAAAAATTTGGAAAATTAATCATCGATTCATAATTGTGTTTTAAAAGAGAATTGATTTGATGTATCTTAATATATTTGATCCAATGTTTCTTTTCAATTAAGATTGATTCAAAGGTGAAGATCTCTTCTTATCTTTTTCGATATAACTTTCGTTCTCACGGGAACCTAACTCTTTATTATAATACTATTTGATAAAATTGGTAAACGCATTTTATAGTATTTTAGATTAAAGGGTCGTTTACTAAAAACGTACCTGATAAATGCTTATCGCTATAACTTTATCTTATCAATTGAGCATGATAAAGATCGAGAATCTTACCTGGTAAGAGACGTAACAGGGACTGAGAGTCTTATACGGTAAGTAAAAAAAAAAAACTTTTACCTGATAAACACTTATCAGGTTAAAGACTTTTATCAACAATCATTTTTATGGTTGAGAACATTACAATAAGGTAAGCGAAGGTGTCTTTTACTGATAAACGATCCATAAGTCAATTAAATTTAAAGATAATGTATTTACTTATAGAAAAAATATGTGTATATATATATATATATATATATATCAATTCTCAATCATTTTTTATGAATGAAGAATCTATACTATATTATAAAACATTTGACAAAAAATTTTAAAAATCATTTTTTATGCATGAAGTACTGTTTATTGATGCATATTACTTAAAATTCAAGATTACAAGTAAATTGTACGTAAGTACAACTTATTAAAGCTCAATTTTTGAATTCGTATAACTAATTACAAATAAATTTAAGACAACATGTTTTCGTAAGAATTGTAAGACCAATTTTTTACACTTGAAACTTCACAACAAAACATTGTGAAGTTAAAAAGAAGTTGAACATTCACAACAAAAACACTGTAAAAGTTATTTTCATATTGTTTTATTGTGAAGTTTCAAGTAACATCAATTTATTTTCATAATTTCAATTTAGTAAAAAAAATATTCTAAATAAAAATGTAGTAAATATCATATGATGTAATATAAAATCAAATTTATACGAGAATAATAACTAAATAATATTATATAAAAATGAGTCAATTACATGTGTTTTTATAGTACAATTACATGTGAAACATAATTTAATAAGAATCATTTAAGATCTTATGTAAAACGTGTCGTATTTTTCAAAATATACTCTTTAAAATAAGAATTAAAGAATACCAGTAATCCCAACAGATATGATACTCCAGGTAGAATACCAGTAATCCCAACAAATCTGATATGAAACCCGACCCTTAGGAACACATGTGAGTAGAGATGGCCAAAAATCAGTCTCGGTCCCAAATACTATTTTCATAACCTTTCCCGGTGTAACCGGTCCCGACCAAAACTCGAAGGCCTGATTAAGCTTCCTCGTAACCAGTTATGTGAATTGGTCCTAGGCCGGGTCCAAACCAGTCCTAAGTTCTTTTTCTAAATTCGATCTTTTACATAAATAATTTTTTTTAAAATATAATACAAAAATGTTATTCTATATGCACTTAAAAATATATGATTTGGTCAATCAAACACACTTAAAAAGAAATAGAGAAAGAGATGAGAAGTAGGAGTTGTTAAAAACCGAAATCAAATACGAGCCGAAATCATGAATAATAGTGAGAATTGTGAACGTTTTTTGCGTTTGTGAGTTGGTATATTTCCCATACACCATATTACTTATATATAGTGTATAGAGGATAAATAAGACAAAAAAAAAAAAAAATGGTCATACGAACGTTAAGCAACATCTATAAAATAGCTATTTTTTTCAAAAATTGGGTCGGTCTCGGTGGAGACCTGGTCAAGCCGGCCCTTGTTTTTTGACAAAGATCGTTCCTGGTTCATAATTAGCGGTCCCAATCGGTCCCATGCTAAGTTGGCCCATTTGAACATCTCTACATACGAGGATACATTTCAAAACTGACTGGCTAAGGCTAGTAGACTGGTTAAAACCCATCTCCCACCAAATTCGAACTTAAATTTGTTATGTATTTGTATAAAATCATTCTGCTACTTTACTAACTGAACTACACGTTTAATGGTATGTTATAATCTAATTATTTCTAAACCTTTTTTTATTAACCTGGATATCCAACCCGCTATGCGAGTCGACTAATTCCAGGACGACCACCTACTTTGCAGATAGCCCGGAATCACCGCATTTGAACCTCTGTAGCCACAAGAAGAAATAATTTTTTTATTTTCTTCTTGGATTTGAACCTAGAATCTTCAGATACTTTTAACATTTGAAGATAAGTTCAAACCGATCAGACACATTTTTTCTAAACTTAATCACTTATACATCATGATGATGATGATGATGATGATGATGATGATGATGATGATGATGATGATGATGATGATGATGATGATGATGATGATGATGATGCAATTCGTCAAAATGATAACAATGTAACGACGCCGTTTTAAAAAAAGTTACAAGAAAAAAGCTTTCTAAAAGTAATATAAATTAAACAAACAAAAAACTTTCCTTTTATAGAAAGTTCTTCCCTTTCCTTTTTCCTATAATTTTCCTTTGATCAATCTAGAATAAACTTTTTTTTCTTCGGCTGATCTCCTACCCTCCATCTTCAACATATGAAGCAGGAAATCGCTCCACGTGTCAATGGGTCCAGGTAGACACCAATGCACACAATCATTATATAAAGTCACATTCTCTTCGGGCCAATGCCCATATTTACTCGGGTGCCCATCGGGTCTTAACAACATGGGCTGGGTTATATCCAAAAGCCTAAATTTCAGCCCATTTTCCTTAGCCTTTCCTTCGGCCCATTTAAACTCTTCCATTTGGGCCAAATAAAGCTCCAAATTTGAACCCTCCAATTGTATTTCACTACTCTTGAATGGCTTTTTTCTAACACAATTTCCACCTTTATTCCATTCCCCACCCTCGAAATGCATCGGTGCGAACGTTCGCAAAATCGTTACGCCTTTGAAGTTTTTCCGACTGATAATCGCCTTGTACGCTGTTCGGAGCGCTTTTCGGTACCCGAATGTCATCGGGTAGTCGGTGACGTTATCTTTCTGACAGTATTTGCATCCGATCACCTGATGATCCTCGTAGTAGAATGAGGGTCGTGAGAACCAATGTCCTCCATTTAGGATCAGGTAGTTGAACTCGTCGATATGGTCGGTCCAGGCCTCGTCGAACTCGTCCAGGTAGAGATTGTAAAGGCCCGTGTGAGTTGGTCCGTCAGTGTCGGGCTCGTCGAATTTTACCAAAAACGGTGACCAAAATGTGGCAAGGGTGAAGTTGTACGAAACGTAATACCAGCGTTTGAAGTTGTCGTCTTTCGTGGTTGAGGCATCAATTGGATACTCCACCTGTTACAATTGCAACGCACCAAAATCATTAAAATTCTTTTTGAATTTTTTTAATTTTAATATATAGTATAATCAAATTAAATAATTTACTTGTTATAACATAATGATCTAAATGGTCTAAAGTTGTACGGTGGTAATTTTATGATTATTGAGAAATCTCGTGACAATTTTATGATTATATATGCTCAAATTGTAGATCTAATCAAAGAGTTTAGAATTGGTCTTACAGGTCTCACGAAAAACAAAAACTCTTGTTCTCATATGATCACAAGCCCCTCTCTCTCTCTCTCTCTCTCTCTCTCTTTATATATATATATATATATATATATTATGAAACATTTGACAAAAATTCTTAAAAATTATTTTTTATGCATGAAGTATTGTTTATTGATGCATATTATTTAAAATTCAAGATTACAAATAATTTTGCATAAGTACAACTTATTAAAGCTTCATTTTAAATTCGTGTAACTAATTGCAGATAAACATCCATTTTAAATATAGAAAATCTAAAATATAATTAAGATAATTATTGAGTTCTAACAAAATATTTAATTATTATCTTCATAAAAAATTATATTATCAAACCAAAATTAAGTTACTTTGTTATTAAATCTAAATTAAATTATAAAAATTGAATTAAAGAAGTTACACCAAAAAAACGAGAACTATTAAATAATTAATTTGATATTAATATCGATTTATTTTTTTAAATTTATATTTCATTCAAAAATAAAAATACTATCACTTTTTCAAAACAACATAAATCGTATTATATCGATAAAAACAAAGAATAAAAACTAAACATTGAAATGAAGATTTATCTCGCTACATTATGCAAATATTTTTCTAGCATTATATATATATATATATATATATATAGGGTATATTTCTTTTACAATCTTGTGTATTTGTACAACCCTTACAACCCAATTAATGGAGATATTTATAGAAATGATGAGAGTTCATTTATTATGATTTGAATATTTATAAAATATGAATAGAGTTTATTAATTATGATTAATACTTTATATTAAGAAACAATCAAAACTTCTATGAAATCACATATTCATCAAATAAAATGGACGGTTGAGATTGAGTTGTATTGGTTGCAYAAATGTCAAGGGTTGTATAATAACCAACATCTATATATATATATATATATATATATATATTTTTAGAAAAATAGTCAGCACCGACTCACATCTAGTTAGACTCGCTAGTCAATAAAGCAAGATAATATAAATAAATTAAAATATATTTTAAATTTATTTCCTTTTTTCAAGGTTTTGGCATTCCCCAAGAATATTGTGGAAAATATATCTTACCCATAAAAACTAAAAAATATATTATAATAAAATGAAAGTATTTATTTATACAATAATTTTATGTTGAAAGATTAAGATGTTTTCTATAAAATGAAATACAATTATTTAGTAATTATTTATAATAAAATTAAAATAATAAATAGTTAAAGAAGACCAATATACAAAAAAAGGTTTTTAAAATTATTAAAATATAATTTTTTTTAATCAAACAATATTCATTTCTTAATGATTATAAGAAATGATGTGATCATAAAACTAGTAAGAGGTTATCAGTAAGAGGTGGTGTGTGAAGATAAGAGCTCAACCATTCTCGACTTTTGTTCCCACAATTCCGAATCTTGTTTCTCTTTTTAACTCCAGAAAAAATGCATACGATACTAAAAGACAACATTACCCTCATCTTCTCACACCCAAAAAACCTCTGCGAATATTCTTCCAAAAACAAAACTCGATCAAACAGAAAGAAAATCAAGACTCAATCTTTTTTAATACCATAAATTAATTCCCATAAACACAATCAAATCTCCAAATTAATAATTCATTAAAAACCACTTAAAAACCATAAATCAAAATACTCCAAAATCATGAAGGAAAAATGGGATAAGGATGAGGAAGAACATACCCTGGACAGCATGCAAATCAGCGATTGCATTTGATTCCTACCAACAGAATCACCCACAAATGCCAAGCTTTTATCTCTAACAATTTCAAGAAACTGATAAGGATTAAAGATCGGTAGATCACATTCATCTGGTTTCCATCTCCATTTCATGTAATCCGAATCGGGTCGTCTGTATTTCTGGCAGTTTTGGTGTTCATGGATGGCCCAGCATGTGGTGTTTTGATAATAAGGAGCATCAGGGTTTGGTATCCACTCGCCGGAAAACACGTCGCATTTGTGGTGGTTATCGTCGATGGTGATGACGGTGTCTTCTGGGTGGGTTGCCGGCGGCGAGATGGCGGTGTCGGAATGGTTGGAAGAGAGAGATGGGAAAGTGTGGAAAGGGATGACAGCGAGGGTGATTAGAGTTAGGGTTACGATTAGGAGAATCTTGGAGGTGCTGCCATGGAATACTGTACTTTGATTGTTCTTCCCATGAGGCTTCATGGGGAAGATGAACAATTGGGAGAGAGAGAGAGAGAGATGGGTTTCAAAGGTCCAAGGTGGTGGTGAGTGATTTATGCGAATATGGTGATTTAAAGATTGCTATTTTAGTCCCTGTGATTTTATAATTACAATTTTCATCTTATAATTTCTTATTTATTACAATTTAGGTCCTTAAGATTGAATACGTTAAAACTCCTCCATTAACTTAGGACTATTTTATTTCTTTATTAATAAAACTATGTATTTTTTGATTAAAAAAAAACTAATAGATAAAAAAAATCAAATTATTTGGTTATTTTTATAATAAAATAATTAAAATATTTTTAATACAATTAGTTTTAGTTTTTGAGTTCGATTTCTGCCACTAACATTGTGCAAGTTGTTGAGTACCCTTCGAAGTATTTTTTTTTCAATTATATCAAACAAATGTATGTCTTTATATGTGTTACAGTAAGTTTAGAAAATTATATGTTTTATTAATAAAATCGCATACATTTAATTGGTAAAAATAGTCTAACATAGTTAAATTGTTTAGTACTATAATAAATTAATCGCTGAAGAAAAAAAGAAGAGTAAACTACAATTTTAGTCCTTGTGGTTCAAAAATAGCTTTTTTCGCCTCTGTGGTTTCCATTCTGCTTCCATTTTCATCCCTACATCTAACGCAGTTAAGAATAGTCGTTAAAAAGTCCAAAAACTTATGTGAGAAATTGCATATATTTAGTCCTTATGGTATGTAAAGTTTTAAAAACAAGTGATCATAGCCCTTTATCTAGTCAACATTTGCGGCTTTGACTGTGAAGCACACCTGATGATTCATTGCATAGGTATGCGATAGATAGAGAGTTAGTTTCGTAGAAAGTTTCAGTATGAATAAAAATATCGATTGTGAATCATTCAAATAGGGATTCCTTGCTCAAAGATGTTCATTTGTACATGTATCATATATATCATATGTGATAAGAGAACAACATTTCTGCCAAATTTTATATGTGATCCCATGTAATTCGCATGTGAACTATATGTTCATATGTGAACCCGTGATAAGAGAACAACATTTCTGCTCAAATTTTATATAGTATTTGATAAAAACTCTTAAAAATCATTTTTTATGCACGAAGTACTGTTTATTAATGCATATTACTTAAAATTCAATATTACAAGTAAATTATGCGTAAATACAACTTA